ATTCCCATTTTGCAGATGAGTTCATTGTCATTATTGAGTTTATGGACCCCGTCCCAAATCACACAGCTAGCAACGGAAGGCTGCCTGCAGGGCCCACACTGTTATCATTAATTGTCTTCTGTATAACATTGTTATGGGCAGGTTGTTTCTCTCCCTTCAGTTGTGGATGCAAAACCAGGAGGAAGCAAAGCACATGAGAGTTTTTGCCCCTTTGCCTGTACCAGCTTTCATGGTGTTCAAATGGTGCGCACCTCAGAGTGGAAACCTCTTTGGGCTTCCATTTCTAAATGAGGCAGTAGCACCAGACTGCCAAAGGTTGAGCTCTCCCAGGGCTGACATTCTGTGATTACTGAGCATTGGTGAAAGAGGGGGGAGCTAATTGAGTGAGTTAGTAATTTGGTTGCCAAGGTAACTCATTCCTGATTGGAAGGAAGGGATCACAGGGTTTGACACAGACTTTGCTGGATAGGAAAGTGGTGTCTGATCTTCGCTCCATGTTTCTGCATCTGAGCTGGAAAAAGAAAGAGCAAAAAAGGGTAAAAATTGAATCCAAATATTGTAGCATTTATGCCTAATTTAGAATAGAATCTTGGGGTGGCAGACTCGAGAGTTCTCTGTGAGGTGTGGCATTCCTTTCTCCAAATCACTTGTTATTTGCCAACTTATGCATTTATTTTTAATTTTTTTCATTCAGTTTACAGCTTTGGTCTTTTTTTTTTTTTTTAAAAAAGATGACTGGTAAGGGGATCTTAACCCTTGACTTGGTGTTGTCAGCACCACGCTCAGCCAGTGAGCAAACCGGCCATCCCTATATGGGATCCGAACCCGGGGCCTTGGTGTTATCAGCACTGCACTCTCCCGAGTGGGCCACGGGCCGGCCCACAGCTTTGGTCTTTTATCTCACCCAAGCCATTTTCTGTGGCCAACTGTCTTCATTGGATGGCGAACATTTTGTAAGAAAATGGTTATGGCATACCTCACATTCCTAGCTCAGCCTAGGGACCTGGAGCAGTTTTCCAGGGTTTCAATATCAGGGCCATGAATTTGAGCAACTGCAGGGGTGTTATTCATATTGTAGTATATGTGTAGAGCTGTGCAGTGAACAATATTGGACCATGTATGATGGTATTGAACTACTGTAGAGAAACCTGGGTTCTAGACTCTGCTAAGCCTCTAGAGTAGGTCATTCTGCCCTACCTATTTTCCTAGACTATTTTTTTTTTTAAAGATGACCAGTAAGGGGATCTTAACCCTTGACTTGGTGTTGTCAGCACCAGGCTCTCCCAAGTGAGCCAACCAGCCATTCCTATATAGGGATCCGAACCCGGGGCCTTGGTGTTATCAGCACTGCACTCTCCCGAGTGAGCCACGGGCCGGCCCACAGCTTTGGTCTTTTATCTCACCCAAGCCATTTTCTGTGGCCAACTGTCTTCATTGGATGGCGAACATTTTGTAAGAAAATGGTTATGGCATACCTCACATTCCTAGCTCAGCCTAGGGACCTGGAGCAGTTTTCCAGGGTTTCAATATCAGGGCCATGAATTTGAGCAACTGCAGGGGTGTTATTCATATTGTAGTATATGTGTAGAGCTGTGCAGTGAACAATATTGGACCATGTATGATGGTATTGAACTACTGTAGAGAAACCTGGGTTCTAGACTCTGCTAAGCCTCTAGAGTAGGTCATTCTGCCCTACCTATTTTCCTAGACTATTTTTTTTTTTAAAGATGACCAGTAAGGGGATCTTAACCCTTGACTTGGTGTTGTCAGCACCAGGCTCTCCCAAGTGAGCCAACCAGCCATTCCTATATAGGGATCCGAGCCCGGGGCCTTGGTGTTATCAGCCCCACACTCTCCCGAGTGAGCCATGGGCCGGCCNCCTTGACTTGGTGTGTTGTCAGCACCACGCTCAGCCAGTGAGCGAACCGGCCATCCCTATATGGGATCCGAACCCGGGGCCTTGGTGTTATCAGCACCACACTCTCCCGAGTGAGCCATGGGCCGGCCCTAAAATGGTAACAACTTTTAAAGATGGTAATGGTAGGGCCGGCCCGTGGCTCACTCGGGAGAGTGCAGTGCTGATAACACCAAGGCCCCGGGTTCGGATCCCATATAGGGATGGCCGGTTCGCTCACTGGCTGAGCGTGGTGCTGACAACACACCAAGTCAAGGGTTAAGATCCCCTTACCGGTCATCTTTAAAAAAAAAAAAAATGGTAATGGTAATAATGGGGTAATAATTTTAAAAAATTATTTATGTAAATCCTGACTTATTCCAAGAAAAGGATTTTAGAGTGAATAGTAAAACTTGGCAGGATTTTTTTTTTAAAGATGAATGGTTATAGGGTTATATTGCATATTAAAGTGCCTTATACATAGTAGACGTTGGTTTCCAGTTTTCCTTCTTAAAGGAGGGGATTGTACTGCATGAGCCCTAAGGTTGAGTCTGGCCTTAACCAGTCATTCTTATTACAAGAAGCCAGCACAGTCAGTGCAGGGGCATTGAATCACAGACAATTGGGGGATAGAGAGAAACCCCTGGATTGCTTCTAAACTTTCAACTCCTGAGAAATCTTACCCCAACTAAGAATCTGGGCTGAGGACCTCAGGGCTACTCCTATGCCAGGGGAAGCAGCACCAGAACACTTGACCCTCATGCTCAGTGCCCAGAGGTGGTAGCCCCACCCCCTCTGAGAGTTTGGAGGCCCCTCTTCCTCAGTTTGTATTAGAGCCTCCATAATCACCCTTCCTTTGCTGGACAACACTAGACCGAGCTCCCACACCCTTTCTGGGCAGGGTGTGGGAAATATCTGGTTCGGTGTGTTCTGGAGATACTCCTCAGGGATCATTAGGGTCTGTTGAATTTGTGAGAATGGGGCATTGAGTCAAAAAGGGACTTAGAAAATCAGGACTGGAAGTCATAGACTTATACTTTTTTTTTGCTGCTGGCTGGTAAGGGGATCTAAACATATGACCTTGAGGTTATAAAGCTGTGCTCTAACCAACTGGCTCTAACCAGCCAGCCCAGCACTTGAAGTCATAGAGCACACACTCCAGAAAGCAATTTTGGGATCATAGCATGCCTGTCTTACAAGACAATGAAGACCCAGTCACTTGGCTACTTAGGAGCAGTCAAGGGAAGGAAGCGTTAGGGACCAGATACTGTTCACCTCCAGTACATGCCAGTCACCGTGTACCATTTATCTCACTATCCCTGGTGTACAGATGAAGAAACCAAATCCCACAGACACTGAGTAACTTGTCCAAGGTTCCCTCTCTACTTAATAAGTGGACTTCAACTGTGGGTACCCTTTCTGCTGCCCAGCCTAGCTCCTTCCTTGAGCAACAGACCGAAGTAACTCAGAATTGGAGAGAGAGAGATGGGCTGTCATGTTACTGCTTAGGGTCAGAATGGTAGCAAATGTGCCAAGGGCAAAGAGAGAGGAATACTTTAAAAAGCTCCCAGTCAGCTTTCCCACCACCAAGCTTGTATCGAGAATAGCCTCCTAACCAAGGGCTGCCCCAGCCTTAAGAGCCACCTTGTGGGGCAAGTCCACTTAATGACCACAGTAGACAGAAAAAAAAGTGATAAGCCTCCTAGTCTGCAGTGACTGGCTGGTCTGATGTCCTTTGCTAATAGTCAGAGACAGCTCCACACATCTCCTTTACTGACTAGTAATCCAAAAGGCTCTGAGGTTCTGGCGAATGGGACCAGTCCAAAACTTGACCTCACTTTCATTTAATTTCATGCCAGCACCAATACACACCCAGCTGCGCAGACCTTGTTTAACTAGTGAGCTGCTCAGACACAAAGGCGCTGTAATTACCATCCGCAAGCCAAGCTGACAGGGATTTCAAGTGTTTTCATGTTTATGGAGATCAGAGAAATGTGTTCGGTACATCTTTCCCACTGATGGAAAGTATAAAATAAAACAAAACAAAAAAACCAACACATTTATTCAAAACAGGTATTTCAGTTAAGTTAAAATCCTGTAATCAGGATAATCACAATTCCAGACACTCCGGTGCGAAGTGTAGATATGTCAATAGCCACATCTGGATGAAGAACAAACCACTGACTGTTTATGAAACTGAAACAAAACGGTCTTAACGCCCTCATAGTGCACAGTATGTTCCAAGCACTTCACCACGGCTCACAATGGCAAAGCCTGCCGCTTCTCCATGTGCAGGGTCACATTTTCTACTTGGTTTCCTTCACTTACAAAGGCGAGCTGGCACGGCTGGGGGAGGGGCAGAGGGAGGAAACCAACTCCGTCTATCCAGGGAATTGCAGCTGTTATTGCAAATGGCCCCGGAGAACCCATTATAAACTGCTGTGCGAGGCTGTGTGTCCCTGAAGTGCCCCTCACGCGGCGTCTCCCTAGCCCCCAGCCCAGGCCCCCAGCGCCACCCACTTGAGCAGGACAGCAGAGCCGAGAGGGAGAGGAGAGACCCGGGGCCACGTCTCAGGCTAGTTTCTGTAAAAGCCTTGAGCGCGGCCAGGGGCGGTGGTCGACCGCGGGAAGCACAGGCGCCCAGCACGTCCCCACCTTCACACCCGTGGTGGTGGCACCGCGAGTGTCCTCAAGAGACTCCAGCACTTGCAAAATATGGCACTCCTGTCCAGGTACAGGCAGAGCCAGGTTACTCTGCTCTGCTGGAGCCCCACAACCAGTTGTGCACCCAGGAAAATGACCTTGAACCCAAGGAGGGTCTGGCCGACTGTGACAATACACTTTGGAGAGGACCGAGGGTCCCCACTCTGCACCTCACCCTACCCTTCCGCCATTCAACCCCCCTCCCCTTTGCCCCCTCCCACCCCCGCCCGTAGGGTACAGCCTTCCCCACCACGCTGAAAAAGGCAGCCAGTTGCAGAGCAGAGAAAAAGGTTACTCCTATTCAACCCCGAGAGGGTCCTTTCATGGTACCGCGTGTTTTATATTAAGAACCAGCAACCCCAAAGACGTGAGATGGGGTTTTTTTTTTAAGTGTCGTAAATTTTCAAGTCTGGCAGATTGGGGTGCCCCCTGAAATTATCGTTCGCTCATCTTCCCCGCCCCCAAAGAGGATCAGGAACCAGCCCTGAAAAGGTAAAGCAAATAACTGGGATCATTCTCCGTCGTTCCAGGGCTCGGCGACCCTGAGAAGCGTGGACTGCGGCTGGAGCACCCTGAGAGGCTGCGCGGCCGGGTCGGGCCACGCCCCACGGAGTCCTACTGACTGTGCGCTCGGGGCGCGCTCTGTCAAATCTGCCCTTAGTAGGGCCAACCCCGTTCTGCATTTCAAACAGATCGGGGCCCTCGACCTCAGTTCCCCGCGAAAACATTCGCGATTTTTCGGTTCCCCGTCTTCATTAGCTTATTTTCTCTGCTTCCAAAAGCGCGAGTTCACCAGTTTGAGCAGGGTTGCCGCCCTCGGGGGAATCCCTTGCCCTCCAGTCAGAGGCTGGCGCTGTGGCCACCTCGGCTGTGTTAGCTGCCAGGGACAAGAACACCATCGCCAGGTCTCAGCTGCGCCCTCCCGGACGCTCCAGGGTCACTGCAGGCCGCACGAGGGCTGAGGGGTGAAAGGGGCTCATGCACCGGGGCCGACAGAGGCCCCAGGAGCGGACGCTGGGGAAACTTTGCATGTAACTGCAGCCGTCGCGAATGGAGCCTCCGCACGGCCTCTTTGATGAGGTTTCCCGAGAGCACGAGCTGCTGCAGGAGCCGGTGCGGGTCGTCGTCCCCTGTGCGGGTTTCGGGCTGGGACCCGCGGCGCTGCTGCAGGCGGCGGGAGGATGCGGCGCCCCGGAGCCATCCTCGCCGGCACGGGCCGGACAGCGGCTGCGGGACACCCCGCTGGCCAGCTCCCGGGGGCCCATCAAAGCCAGGCTGAGGGGACAGTGGGGAAAGTGCGCTGGAGCCAGCGGCGAGCTCAGCCACGCAGTAGGGCGCAGCCCGGCCCCGCACGCGGCCACGGTCCCCGAGGGCGCAGCGCACAGCCCCCGGGGGCGCCGGGCCCACCGCCTCAGCCGACGCGGGTGGCAGCA